CTGGATGAAGAGCTCTGCATCAGACTAGCGTTGTGGCTAGAGCTGTAGTTGATGACTAGTGGCGGTATGGATGACCATGTGAGAAGCTTGTCAGCTGTAGGGAAGATATCGAAGGATGTTCTGCTTCCTTTCTGTTTACAGAAAAAACAATTTAATGTCGTTTTTGCTAAAAACGTTCGCCATCATAAAAAGCATATATTGTTTCCGTATCTCATGACGATCGGTGATGCAGGTATCCAGTGTAGGGGGAAATATTACCCCAATTTGAAAATTTTCGTTTTTCACCTTTAGAATAAATTCATTTTTTATTAAAAGAAAATTGTACATCGATGGTACTATTCGTGTGCCTTCTTACTCTGCACTCCAAAAAAAATTCATCAGGAACTTGAACGCTAATAAAGATCACAGAAATTTGTCTAATATTTTTCTGAAGTATTATTCAGTTCAGACGATAAATAAACGTCCATGACGACTGGCGATATATTTTATCAGACTCCGTTCATAAAATATAGTTAGCATGCCTCTGACGTAAGAAATAATCCTGAGCGCTAATTCATCGTACCGTTCTTCTTCATGTACAGTTGAACACTATGTAGCTGTACGGTACCCTTGTTAATCTTTTTCAGATAAAGCTTTTTCTCATCTTTTTAATCGAATTAATGCTTAACGAACTAGTCATATCCTCAGGATTTTTGGAATCGTTGATCCTTCTCGATATTTGTTCTGCTTTACTTATTTCTTGATAAAACCGCATCTCCTGTTTGAAGTATTGATAATATTATGTACAGATCGGTGTTGTTTATAAAATGCAACTTAATACGAATAAAAATTCGGTTCCTTTAGTAGAATAGCGAGCATGACATTGTGTTGTTGATCAAAATAACAGCTTGATTTGATATACAATCGTTCTTATGTGCTAAAAATGAAACTCTTTTCAACATTTTCGATATGTATGTATATATAGAAGCGTGTCATTCAATGTTACCAACTACCTTTCAAGTCGTTTGTCTAGACTGTATAAAGGAAACATCATAAAAATAAAACTTAAATCAATATTCGCGTGTAATAATGACGAGGCAGTAGCTTTTGACGTTCAACCATGAAACCATAAATTATAGAGTTCAATCATATACAGATATATACCGTTTGAGTGTCTAAAGACAAGTTGTTCTGATATTTTGACCCATAATGTCAAATTTGACTTCGAACATAAACCTGTTCTTAAGAAATTCAAAAATCGTAAAAGTAGGATATCCACCTATAGTACATCTTCTCATATGTCACATACCAAAAAAAACGTCTTAGCAGATGTATAGAGGCGGGACGCGACGGGTAATGCATATTGAGTTAGATAATAACAATAACAACTTTCACTTGAAGCACCTACTTTTCATATATGTGCATAAAGTAGAGAATAATATTTGACACATATATAAACGATAAGAAAACATATTTTACGTAATTGAATAATACCCAAAGGTATTGTATAAACTCATTCGTCATCATCATCATTTCATCAATGACTGTGTGTTTATGACTCGTGCCATACATTTCGAAAAGTACTATATACGTACTTGCGAATAAATGGCTAAATGATGGTAGTTTAATGCGCCATTGAGTGTTTTTTTTGTTGTGAAAAGCACATCTGTGCAGGAACAATTATAGAGAGCGTAAAAAACATTCAAAATGAACATACTTATTTAAAGGTGTAAAAAAATATGTCATGTATGTTCACGAGTGGTCAGGATCTATATCACTGGGCGGTACTGAGCGCTCATTCAAGATATTAATAAAGATATAATGGGCATTTTTTTGGAGAATTGATTGAATGGTTTTTATGTCAAAAAATAATACTATATTTTCACGAACAGAAAATTATATTAGTTTGTCTTTATTGATGAAGGACTGGTGTATATTTAATAAACTGAGTAAAAATTCGTCGTCTTTATTCTAATAACTTCAAAACAAAGTCTCTATTTTTGGATTTTTGGAAAGATTTTTTTCTGATACAGTAAGTTGTTCTATGACCGGAGGGAAATGTGCGCTATATTTGAAAAGTTGTAAAATGTATACCAAAGTTGAAATACAAGTAAAAAGAATTTATTTACAAACTATCTAACACAAATTTTGTTAGTAGTAGTCTAGTGTGATAAGTCAACAGTGTAAAAATAAAAAGCTATTCTCTATCATTGGTCTTCTTTATATGTTTATCATTTTTAGATATATGTAAAGAACAGTATAGAGATATTTTGTCCAATGAGCATTTTCTTATTGCTACAGAGAGCCAATGGTCATTTTTCAATATTTAACAGAACAGGAAAAAATATCTCTATATATTTTGAATAATCAATTATCGTTATACGTTTAAATGATATTCATTAACTTGCTATAAAATGAACGAAGTCTGATAAAATATAATTCTACTAAAAAACGCATACATTATACTTAAATAAACTAGTAAGTAGATTTGATTACTTTTCTACAGTTATATGAAAACTCGACTTTTATATAAAACAGACTATTGTAAGTAGTATATTATCCAGGGTTTATCTTGAAAAATAAGGACAAATAGTCCTAATAAGAATCTTTTGATCTATTTTTTTTCCAGCGAAAAACGTTTTCTTGCAGACAGAATTAGAAAAGAGTGCGGAAAGAAGAAAAGAAACATGGCTTTTAAGTCGTTAAAGTACGGAAAGTAATTTAGTACACTGTAACAAGTAACGTGTGCCCAAAACACACGAAACTTGCACATCACTTTGATTCGCATCTGTACATCTAGAAATGCACGGTGTGTTGTGCCAGAAACACACTGGCAGAACTTACACACCTGCGAATATAGAAAGACTCTTACACACCTAGAAAAAAACACTAGTTTTATTCGTATTCGCGAACTTAGAACTTTTACCCATCTACGGGCACATCTTATTTTTTTTACAGTGTAGAGACGAAGGCTCCGACGATTGAAAAGAGAATGATATATTTAGAATCGTATGCACAAGTAGAGTGTTCTAGAAATATGTTTACCTTCAACGTTTAGAATAAATAGATCAGATACCACAGATTTTTAGTTAAAACTCCGAGTTCATTTTTCCTTAAGCCATCTTTGCTTTCTTTGGCCATCACTGTTTTTAACAAAAATTTTCCAATTATAATGGGTATTTAGCAATATCATAACCCAAAATAATGATCAATTCTTCTTAAATTCTCTCGTTTCGTCGCTTATATTTTAAGGGTATTCGTCCTATTATTCTATTTATTTTATAACTATCTATTTCTGTCTATCAACTGTATACTAATCAATATTAAGATAATTGATTACCCAGTTCCTTTCTAAACTTGCATCAATAACAACTTACGACTGTTTGACCGTTACATTGTTTCATAGCCTATACATGGGACTGTTATATGCTCTTATGACACCGTTGAATATTACTTTATGCACTTATTCAACATACTTTTCTGAGGTAATGATAATAATGAAACAAAACATGATGGACAAATTCTTAATTTTAACGGTTACAAATCAAAAGATGAAAATTGTGCTTTTATCTGGAACTGAACTTGCAATTAAATATGGCAAATGTTTAAGCATTTGCGTTAATACTGCCAAACTACCTGTTTCAGGTAACTTATCAATAAAATAGTAAATGAAATTTATACTGTTTTAATTAATTATAATAATATTGATTAGTATACAGTTGGTAAAAAGAAATAGATAGTTATAAAATAAATTGAATAATAGAAAATAGAAGGAAAGAAACGAGAGTAAATCAAATTACTCTCCATGCTCTAGAAAAGAAGTCGTACTTATTTCAATCTAATTTCGTACTCAAAAAGATTGTTTTCCTTTTGGAAGTTATAAAATTATTTTTTTTGTGGATTTGTTAAAGTATGTACTGTATTCATAGATATGAACTCGAGGATACCTGACATAGATACCGAAGTTTTCTATATTTAATAGAGAACAAATTTTTGAAATGATCCATTCCGTATATGACACGATGTTACCGTACTCTGAAGTTTATTCATTCTTGACTTACGATTAGAAAAAGCAGATTCCTGCTTTCCTGAAGAGATATGAGCAATACGGAAGAGGGAACAAGAGGACAAACGCAAGTATCACACGTTATAGATGAATGGATAATTAGAACTCTTACATATTTATCTCGTAGGCTCTATTCATTCATTCGTGTAAATTGTGATTTGTGTTTCGCTTTCGATCTGTTCATTTACATTCTGTGTGTCTGTTAAACACGACATAAGCTGTGATATTAAATCTCTTATTAACGTCTGCTTTATAACTCTGTCTATAATCTTGTTTAGACAAATCACTTTGACAAATGACAAATTGAAATATCCTCTTACACATCAACTTTTTTTTTGTCGATATGATTATATGATGCCTTGATTAGAAATCTCATTCACTAATCAATAGAGAGCGCTTCCTCCTACTTTATTCACAGTGGTACATCTATACAGACTGTTACACAAATCTCCCGTCACGCTTGTCATGTACAGTAGGCAAGTATAGTACATCACATCACAATCGGATGCCTGGTGTGCACCATCAAACGATAGAAGACCGTTTAATGAGCCGCTACTTCTTAAATAAACAAGATAAAAACATGCTGTGATTTTTTCAAGTCAAAATAGAATAACTACTGTAAAACAATTTTCATATCATCGATGAAAAAACTTGTCACTGATATTATTGTTACATGTTATCTTCCCCAATTTCATCATAACTAGTCTAATCAATATGACATACACAGCTTCTACTCATATCAAACTACATGGTAAAAATTGCCGCAGTACGAAGTTAGTCATTATTATTTTATACTCAAATTGATATCTAAAATATGACTGATTGTTATGGAAAATCGTTTCTCTCTTTTGTGAGAGAAAATCATAGTAAATCAATATGATGATTTTTGTGCAATTCTTTTGTTATAGTTCTCTTAACACACAACTATTTTCTTATTTTTTCAGAAATTATACGAATGATGGACGAAATAACGCAAAATAATGTTAATCATCGTCGTATTCGAAATATGAAACGTCATTTTAATCAAATATTAGCACACTTACAAATTGAAGCAGAAACTACTTGTCTATTAAATGTTGCTCCACTCGAAATTTCATTAAATACTCAATTATCATTGTCTCATTCGAGAGGTTCGTGTCCTCTATCATCTCATTCAAATACAAATCCCATACTTCATTCAACAAGCTATAGCTCAAAAGGATGGCATAGTAAACAATCATCACCACCAATTATGGATCATAAACGAAGGAAACGTTTTCATCGTCAATATCATCATGAAATAAAATCGCATAAAAAGAGTAAATCAAGATTAAAAACTGGTAAGTCACATAATTTTATGATTTTTTTTTATTAAAGTCAGTTTTCGTTAAAGTACAATATAAAGATGGTATTTGACGTAAATATTTTATTGTATTGTTTAGATATTTGCTCTTTCTCTCCATCAGTTATCGATAAACAAACAAATCAACAATCATCCAATGAAATGTGTTTTTTAGCTGCAATAACCAGTACACCAAAAAAAAACAAGTGTCGTATACCAAAAACATCCACACCTCGATGTCAACATTTACGATCTATATCCCTAACAAAACTACTGTATAAAGTAGATAGTCAAAAGAAACTATATGTTGAAACTCGACCAAGACGTCATATTTCAAAACAACATGCTATTCATCAAAACAATATTTTTCCCGTTTGTGACAACGAGAAAAATCGGACAAAACCTTTAAAATTTTCTAATCATAACAGATGGATTGTGTAAAATTATAGAGTACATTTCATTTTTTTTTTCGTTTAATTGTATAAATATTTTTTTTATTTTTTTACGATAATAGTACCTATCGAGAATACAAAAGACTAATTTGGCATATTCTCGTTTTCTTTGTGCAGTTTATAGGTAACTTCAGTAGTGTATTGAATCTTTTAGAGATAGAGTAATAATTGTTCATTTCTAATCTATAATTCACTTTTGTACTATATGAGAATAAAAGACGTAACAACATTACGCCATATTTCAGTTTCACTGCAATTTATTCTGATCATAAACTGATGCGAGTATATGATTTACTGTCCGTTAATTAATTTCTATTTTAATTTAATTAGTTTTTTTTCATAGAAAAAAAAAGTATAATTTTTGCTATTGAGGATTTACTTTCCGTTGATTACATAAAAATATATCCCAAGTAGCCACTTTCTTATATGGTGATTTAGTTTCCACTGATTATTTGGACTAAAAGCAATGAATGAGCAAATGAGTGTTCATTGCGACGCCCAATACATTATGAGAAAAAAATGTATTATTGGTGTTTATTAGTAAAAACGAAAAAAGATGGTTTTTTAACTTTTTGGTGGACGTTGAAAATATCTCATACCAGCAGCTTTCAAGAACGCTGGAATATCAATACGACCGTCATCATAGCTTTGCCATAATTTTGTCACAACGTTGCCATAAATTAGGCATTCATCTGTTATAACTTGGACGACGCAAAAAACGAGTGAACGAGTACCACCAAGTGACCCACCGTATAACAAAAATAACTCATCTTTTGTTGTTTTACAATAAACGTCGGGTAATGGATACGGAAGTTGTTCAATCGATTGGGGAATTGGCGGACGAGTCTTACGACGTTGTTTTTGTAAGGTATCTTTCATTATATGAATCGATGGTAAGTTAATAATCAAATTATTGGATTGAGACTGACGATTAGCAGCGTGGTATGCTTCTTCGACTATACGATCTATTGGGCCAGATTCTTCAATAACTTCATGTTTTAAAGTTTTTCTAATCTGTAATATTTCCATATCAGTTCCATCAGGTAAATGTGTATGAGCGTCACGCACTAAGACTGACGAATCCGAATAACTTGTTGCTGTAGCGTTACACTTCACACATACCCAATACTCGGAATCATTTTGATTTTTACATTTGAGAGAATATCGATAACCGAGGTAACATAGTCGTCTTTTGCCATGTATAGATTCAACGAATTCAGCAGACATTATTAAAACAGTGTGAGGCATGGACGAACATCAAATGTACCATCGGAATGCCAAAGCGATGATGATAAAAAATGAATACTTCATTCTGATGTGCATGTATGATCTGTTTCTTCACGAATAATTAATTTGTCTTGTGAATATAGTGATATTGAACTTGTACAACTTCTATCATGACAACGCCATTCATTCGGAGTTTTATGTTCTCGTTTTTTATTGTATTGATAATCTTTATAACTTAAAACTGGCTTACCACGTTCGGTGAGAGTGTAATGTAACATTTTCAGAGAATTTGTGTATACTCCTACTGAATATCGGTTTATATAGGTTAGTGAGCTTCATTTTTTAAGCATCCTAAACGGCTCTAAATTATAACTGTTTATATATTGTTAATTATTAGTGTTGTTCGTTTTTACAAAGTTTATTAAATAAATTTAAAAGCCGAATAATTTAGCCTATGTGTATATTTGAGGAACGAATCGAGAAGCGGCAAATCAAGAAAAAAATTTATGAGGGACGAATTGAGAAATCAGTTAGGAATCGAGGTTAAACCATCACTATGTAAGAAAGTGGTAAATTGGAATATATTTTTATGTAATCAACGGAAGTAAATCCTCTATAGCAAAAATTGTACTTTTTTTTTCTATGAAAAAAACTAATTAAAATAGAAATTAATCAACGGACAGTAAATTCGCAGACAGTAAATCGTGTAAACCAAACTGATGTGCTCATGTATATAGAAATAGATATGTTCGTTTGTCAGAATAACTAGTATTAAAAAGAATGAAAGAAATCTAATAAATGTGTGTAACATAATTTGTTGATATTAGAATATTTTTCTATCCATGAAAAATGACGTATTTTTTCATTGTCTCATGAGTAAATTTTTGTAAATGAACCAGTTTGTCTATTGTCCTATAGTAGTTTTATAATGTTATCAAAATATTCAAATGTTTATTATTAAAGATACAATAGTTAAAAATACGAACACTAGAATATCAATGATATCAAATATTAAATATATTCTATATAATTTTCTTTGATTTCACAATAATTAAATTATGCGAAATTATTGGCATAAAATCATAGGAAAATTTTGCAGTTTTAATTTTTTAAATATATGTAGTACTCTGTAGTACTCTATTAGTAATAATTATTCGCAATCAATGTAAATTTGAAAATATTGCTTTAAATTTCTTTTTTTCATTATCGTTGAATGTATTAGGCTGATTATGTGTATGACTTTGATTGTGTTTTCCTTTAAACGATTGTTGTTCAAAATATATGTTTGCATTTGCAATAAGAAAGAAATCGAACGAGAAATGTAAATGACATTAGTTTTCTCATTGATCCATAAATTTATTTTAGATGTTGAATAGAGAAAATAAATACTGATCCAAAAGTGATGAAATAAGTCTACATAGAGATTAGAGTATGTTCATAACTATCAATGAACTATCGTTGTTGACTATCAATGAAATCAATATCCACATACAATTGGTAAATGATAAACGTTCTATGCAAGGAAAGTAGAGTGACTCAAAAGGGAATGTTTTCAGATGACAAATCCCTCTTTTGATAAAACACCGTTTTATTGATACGAAGTATTTGATGCAAATTATTTTGGTATTCATCTTGGCTCTTTGCCTTTTCTAGTACAATGAAGGAAAAGAAGAGCATCCTGTCTTGCGATCGCACGCCACGGGAGATAACACATGTTAGTTTTAATACTTCGATATCTGCTCTACAGCTGACAAGCTTCTCACATGGTCATCATATCGTCACTAGTCATCAACTATAGCTCTAGTCACAACGCTAGTCTGATGCAGAGCTCTTCATCCAGTTGCTTGAACTTCCTATACACAGTCACTATTCACATACGAGCTTTTCAGAAAGCCACGAAGACTAACCGGAGAACTGTACTGTACGACAGAACATAGTGAGTATGCTATTGGACAGTTGATTGACAGTCATGCTGTCCTGCAAACAATATTAGATGGAAGAGAAAAGATCAACTAAAAATTTGGTTTTAAAAAACCAACGAAAGATTTGGTTTTAATCAAGAATTTTGTAAATATTTTGTTCTAGAAGAATATACAGAATTTTGCAGAATTTCACATTTGTAACCATTTTCCGCGTTACGCCACTTATGTTTCTGCATTTTACTTGCGTTCTTCACTTGGTTCACGCAAAAAAACTTTTGCAATTTCAACATGGGAAATAGAGTAATCCCAAACCCAAGTGAAGGGTGAAATTTTTCTACGGATATGGTAGAAAATAAAAGATTTTCAGTTAAGGTTGTCTTCTGGATATCAAAGAACATATTGTAAGAAAGAACAGAAGAAAAAAATTTTACGCTACGCTTCTTCTTAAGTAGTGAGCATACCTTTTGTGCCACACAATTGGGAAGATCTCATCTTTCATAGTATTTTTTGACCAAAATATTGTTTATCGAACGAATTTATCTATGTAATTAATTTATTATAAAATGTTGACTTAGAGTGTTGTAAATTATAAAATTTCGAATGGGTGAGCAAAAATATTTAAAAGATGTGAACAAGTAGTGGTATAGCCACTCGCTTATATTATAAACACATTATTAAGAGATTTTTCTTTTTAAAAAAAATGATTACTTCATCAACAGAAAGAAATGGAACAACATCAACATCTAAAAATAGGATCTTTCGTTTGTATCCCATTTTTAGGATACTGGAACATGTTCGAACGACACCATCCAGAATGTTTCAGAAACGTAGTGAATTAGAAAATTTACAAGAACATATTGACGGATTTGTATTTGATATTGAATATTCGATGGATGTTGTAAAAACAATATTAAATAGTGGCATAGCTACTGGATGATTATGACCACTGTTAATCTCGCTGAGGGCAAGTGATGATTGTTTTGATCCATAAACATTCTTATATTTTTAATCGATATAAAGTTGATAAATGTTCATTTTCGACCGCTTTCATCCCGAACGATTGAGTAATTAAATCATATTTCCAACCAGGTGACACATGAATAACCTTTTCGAAAGAGACTTCTGATTTGGTTCTACATGCGTTATGGACTACAAAATATAGACTTCTAGTTGTTAATGAAAATTCGATATGTATGAAATATATTCATATGTAAAAACACAGAGATCAACCGAATAACCTTATAGAATACTAAAACGACGTATTTATTCAGGTTGAAAATCCATATTTTATTGCATATACGTGAACGTGTTGACATATCGGGTCGACCCAAAACAAACAATGTGGGTATTCAACATGAAGAGACAAAGATACAATCTCTCATAAATGTCTAATAAATTGAATTTTGTTTAGAGACTATAAAATAAAACTATGATTCTCAATGTATGTTCAACCCATTTAAGATAGTTAGACTTAGTTGTTATTAGTAAAGGAAAATGCTAACACGTAGACCATTCAGGATGATTTTTTGGTCTACAAGCAACGGGACACTCGGAAAATGGTTTACTCGTACCACAACATGGTCGCACACAACCAACAAAACAATTTGTTTCATTCAACGGTCGTCGACGCGTAGGAAACGGACGTGAATTTTTTCCGTATGACTTTTGACACAGAAAACTATCATGTACAATGATGTCATTTTGTATTCGAGGCCAAATATGATCGGATAAAAATATTTGATCACTTCGATTATCATAATGAGTAAAGGACGAATGATCAAGTATTTTCTTTAAAAATTCTGCTGCAAATGAACGATTTAATTCTGTACGGAAACCCCACATACCTCCCAACATTCGAACATCTAAAATAGTAAAGATCATAATAAAACTTAAAATTCTGATGAGTAACTTCTCTTGAAATGTTGTTTTTGTGTATTTAAAACTTACTATGATTTGGATGATCACGCATGACATGAAAAGACTTGTTACTTTGAAACCATTCATTGACTGCATCTAATTCACGTTGTATCAAGGGTGAATCTAAATCTCGACTAGTTATTACGTTAACGAACGTATCACCAACCGGCAAAAAACGCCAAATTTTTGGTGGAATAAAATTGCCTAAGTTTTCAAGTGTTGGTATTGCACTTATATTGCAAAAGTCAACATTTAAATGTTTACATTCTATTGGACATATGATCGATGAATCAATCGTAGCATCATGATAAATTCTTAGTATCCATCTTGGATAAAAAGTGTACATATCAGCAATAAGTTCGTTTAAGAATTTCAATGTTGAATTGATACTAAACATGGCATTTTCTTTTGATCCAAATAAACTGATTGATATAACCGACTGATTTTCTCCGCGTAATGTTGAAAAACGGTTACATAATGATGACTTCCCATCGTCTAACATGACTTGAGATTGCTTTAATTGTCTTGTACAAGAACAGCTTAATCGTTTATAAATTAACAAAATTTTAATGGGTCTCACGATAATTGTTGATGATGCTGATGTATGATTATAAATCTTTTCTACCAGCCATCGTAGGCCAAGAAAGACTAATACTGAAATGTATATGAACGCAACCAAAATACTTTTCGATCGCACAATTTGTCGTTTCTTCATTCATTCAATATTTCTGTCAGAAAGTACTAAAATAAAAAATAGAAGAATAAGGTAAGATGTGCAAAGATCTCCGCAGTCTTTTTCCTTTTTTTCAGAAGTTTTACAGTCAAAAGAGGTATCTACGCTTTAAGAGTAAGAGATTCTGAATATGTTCTATTTTCTTGATGAAAAACTGTTTCGAAACACTTTCAGAGACGTAACAAGACTTCAGATAGTAGAGGAGGTATAAGATCTCAAAGAGGCAATATAGAATATTTTTTCAAAAATGATTGATTAAAAGAAAATCTTCAAACGCTTTTGATGCTAGAAAAATAATTTTTTCAATTATTAGGAGATAATGCGCTACCCGCTACTATGAGCACGTCTGCATCCAAAAACTAATGTTTTAAGACGAAAAAGAGTGAAGAAGCTATTTAGACAAATATATGGTGAAAAGAACGATCTTTCAAAGGGAATACAGAAGGAAAAAGATCACAGTCCAGAAGAGGATGAACTTATTAAATTTATACTCTGGATGTTTATGCAAGTGTTCCGCGAAACCTGTGTGCAAATGCTTCTAAACAAAACATGAAACAACCACATTAAACTTCATACCAGTTCTAAATACATTTAAACAATTTTCGGGAATTTAAGCACAAGAATTTCAGAATAGTTATGGTGATCACAGAAGCTTGTTTCAAATGTCTTTTTCATTTAATTTTCATTTAGATGCGAGCTTACGAAAAAAAGAATGTCTCCAACACGGATTCAACTAAAACAGGATCGAGTTACATGTAAATCGTACGAGTAGTGTACATTTCTTATTGGCATATGTACATAGTTATCAAACAATGGAATCATATGTAAAAATATGTAATTTTCAGATAAGAATGTATATTCTTCTAGAACAAAATATTTACAAAAATCTGTATTAGTTTGAGTAATATAGGATTTTGTAAATATTTTGTTCCAGAAGAATATACATAGTTATCAAACAATGGAATCATATGTAAAAATGTATAAATGTATAATTAAAACTATGAAAAAATAACGTAAAGATCAAAACTGTAGAAATAAAATCATGAACTGACTTTTTGTCAAAGGAAAACAATGAAAATAAAATGTGAAGAGGAAAACCGTGAAAGCGTTTTCATGCTTTTTAGTTGACGGTTTTATCGAAGGTTCAAAATTCATTAAAACATGTGCAGTTTCGATCGTCGGCATGTCCAAAAGTCTTCCTAATCAACTAGAGGCGAGTCCTGGGCTTTTCGACAAATCTATCTCACACTCAGGATTATTCAATAAAGAGCATAGCCGGGTAGATCAGAGAGTAAAACTGGTACTTGGGACAGGGAGGAGGGGAAGACATCTTCCAGCGCATGTTTCTGCAAAATATGCCTGTTTTGTGAACTTTCTCGTTTTATAAATTCTTTTCTTTGAAGCTGCGATTATCTTATAATTGTTCTGATGCCTATAGTCTTAGAAGGTAGAGGGGAAGGGTATAGTGAATATCTTCTCCTAACCATAAGTTTCTAGACGTTCGTCATAGAATACACTCGATGGTATCATATGATATATGTACACACTTATACAGTTCGCGTCTCTCTTTTGTGTTTCAAATACATGTACGATAGCGAGAAGCTTTATAAATTCAACAGCGACAGCTTTTCGTAAGGTATTGAAGTTTTTACAGAAGTCTACCCGAAAACATATTTTTTGTTGTTTTTCCGAACTTCCTTTTTTAGTCTGGTATACTAACTTAGTATGAGTTTCTAAGGGACTCAGTGGAAAAATTCGATAGAAAGAAACATTCAGACATATTTTTCTTTAATTTTTCCAAAAACGTAGTGCGCGAACGCATTTTTCAAATCAAGATGGCCCTAAGAGCGCTTCTAAACGAGCTTTTTTGATCTTAATGAGAAAAAAGTATGTTCGGACACATCTTGCTTTTTAAAAAACTGGAGATAGTTTAGATGCGTCTCAATGTTATCCAGCATTTTCAACGCACTTAGATGGATTTTTTATATCGATCAGAGCAAAACACATTTACGTTTGTTGGCGACGGCACAATAGTATTGGTGGCATCTTTTTTCTTCATTCACTGATCTTCAGATGCGTAGCGAGTGATCACAGAATGATCCACGCTAACAAGATGTCAAGATAAAAAAATTCACTTTTCATGTCATTACACCTTCCACGGGACAGTGAATTCACAGCGCCTTTACGCAAAGAAGAATGCTACAAAAATTTCTTCGTTAATTTCATTACAAAGTACATCCATACAACCAAAACTATCAACTACAAAATTAGAAAATGGTTTAGTAGCTACAAATACAGAAAATATTTAAAAACAAAAATTCACTCCTGAACTTCATTCAATTTTAAAATTCAAAAATATCGGCTTAAGATGGAAATTTTTCTTTCTTATTTCAATCAAACGTTAAGCTACTCTATTGTCTTACATTAGTAATAATCTAGCCTTTTGGCTGATGATCCGTTCTTTTTATAAATCTATTATATCAACGTCCCTTGGAAGGGACCGGTGGGTGTAAAGGGTTAATTGTATCTTGGTCTCATAATTCATACTCGCCAAGCGTCCCAGATTCGATTCCTGGAGCTGTTCTTCTTTTCTTCCCTTTCAAAGTAGACGGTTTTACTTGCACAGTTTTACCTGGACAGTTTTTCTAACAGTTTTAAAGCCGTCAAAGAAAAACTGTCATATAGGAACCGTAGAAAACAAAAATATGAACAACTAAAACCGTGAAAAAGCCGTGCCAAACTGATTACGAGAAACCGCGTATAAAAACCGTCACGAGTTCACGGTTTTTTTTCCTCCGTATATGTAACGGGTGCTTCAGAAGAAATTGCCCTTATGGTATTTTCGTCTTTTCTCCCTTTTCTTCTATCGATTTGAGTTACTTCTTTCTGCAAAAGATGCGCCTTGAAATACTCTACAAAATCATACCTAAACTATAATTTCAGAACTTCAATCAAGAAAACTAAACTAATTAGATGAAATTCGAATCATTTGTGATCAAAACAAAACAAATCCGATCGAAAAAGCTTTTACTCTGATGGAGTTATGGAACTTTTACTCAAAGCACTACTATACCCAAAGTTTAAAAAATTAATGAAAAAATGCATGATAACCGACAGAAAAACTATTATTTCGCCGTGGCTTTTGATGTGAAAAAATTTGAAGCGTAGCTAAAAGACAAAGCGAAGTCAGGGCTACAAAATGGCTAATTCAGTTTTTCTTACTTTCAAAATGTTAACACAAGAAATCATTTTTGAGTTTGGAAGGTTTTCGCTGTTTTCGACTTTCGTCTAATTGGTTTAGTTTTCTTGATTGAAGGTCTGAAATTATAGTTTAGGTATGATTTTGTAGAGTATTTCAAGGCGCATCTTTTGCAGAAAGAAGTAACTCAAATCGATAGAAGAAAAGGAAGAAAAAACGAAAATACCATAAGGGCAATTTCGTCAGAAGCACCCGTTATAAATCAGTCATAAATAGAAAAACATGCAATTATTTTACATACGTTCAACTATATGAATAATTTTTATTGCAGTGGTAAAAAAAGGTCAATACTACATGTGTTCATCGGTGCTAAAGGCATGCCAAATGTTGATAAAACAAAACAGTGAATGAAAAAAACTGAATAAAATTGATACTGGTGAGAACTGAAGACAATGAGTTCATTCCGCTCATGTGACTAACGGCGCTAAGCGATATTTTACTAGTCACCGATGCACACCAGTGTCAGACTTTTCTTTTCTTAAAGCAAAAAAAGCTTTCAGCTTTGAAGTGATGAACGCTTACGTCGTACAAGTGTTAATTAAAGGTTTTTTGTAAACTATGTAAATAACCCTTCACAAACGTCTAAAAAGAGTTAGCAAACTCAAATCTGAAACTGTTGTTCTGCATAGATGAACGAAACTTTGAATAAAATTTTACTAGACATGAACGGATCGGTCTCGGTCACGGTCCGGATCCCACTAGGATCGAGATCGAAACTAAAAATTTTGTTGAAAAATTACTGGTGATGCAGATGAATGTTTGTTAAAGACATCCTCCGAAAACGGAAAATAGAATAAATCTTTAACTTCACTTCATTTATGTGCGTTCTCTATATCTTCCTTGTATAGATTCATTTAAAGTTTAATGAACATCAGAATTTCAAACACATAACCAGTTTCACACAAAATAAGACTATTGAGCTGATTCTGGTTAAGATTTCTGTTGACAAATCTCGTTTAACCCATGAAACACCTGTAGCAACTCAAGTGAAGATTAACCGTTAACTCTGAGCGAAATCTTGTTTGACTGAGAACGGGACCAAAAGATAGTGGCTCCGCTCATGTCCAGGTCTTACCCCTGAACCATTCACGCGCGTAATCCTAAAATTCTACGTCATTTAAAATACTACCGCTAGATTATCATTCAGAAAATCCTTCTCTTTATTAAAACTAGAGCAAAACTCAAAATTCCTGGACGAATAATTTTGAGAAATACGGACGGGAAAAAAACAGCTGTGAGAAAAATACACAACAAGTTCTTAGTAGGAAAAAAACACGTTTCATTGTAGGAAATTATTTAATATTGTGGGATATCAAAGTTTCATTAAAAAGAAGTTTATTAAAATTTTTAATGACATTCTTGTACCATCAAAAATTTTCTATGAAACTCCAGGTCACAGTCACGTTGCAGGAGACATTTTAATGAAAATTCGGTGAACAGAATATAAGTTAATGATCCGAAAATAGGTGTATTTAAGCGAAAACAAATATGTATGAAGTGAAACAGGTAC